TTTATAACTGCTTTATTTGCCTTAGCATTCCCTGAAATATCTTTTCTCCTTTCTTTTCTTGTACTATTCTACTTGAGTTTCATTGGGATTTTTATCTTTATATTGTTCTTTCAATACAGTAAGCTGCATTAAAGGCTTAACAGTGGAAGAGGGAGACGTTAACATTTCTAAATAAATAATAAGGGAAGTTCAACTGTGACTGCCCCAAGAAGCTGTGCAGGGATCCCAACCTAATACTCTGTCTAACCAGTATACCGCACTGGCTCTACAATTTTGCCAGTGCATTATGATATGTGAAACTTTGCACAAGACCAGGAACAAAGAGAAATGGCCAGAATTGACCAGCAAGGATTGACTAGGGAGGCAAAAAAGCAGAACTTTCATTCTAAGCTGATTCTAGAACATTCTGAAAATGTGGTTGACAGAAACAAGTTGGTGAGTTGCTATGGCAACACATGCCATCAGCATTCCCAGGACCTGTCACCATAGCAAAGAGTTCTGGTAGCTTCAAATGGCCCATGTGCCAAAATAGCTACTGTTGCAGTTTAATATTTTACAAAACAATCCAAACCCTATTTGCACTGGGCAACAGTATGTTCAGTTGAGCAGAGGTGTCTCTCTTCCAGCCATGGGTGGGGACAAGGCCAAGACAGCCTGGGATCTAGCAAGCCCCAGGGGCGGAGGAAGGTGGGGACACACCGCCCCAGATGTCTTCGCTGAGGGGGGCTGACATTTGGCACGCCACCTGGCCATGACTCCCAAGCCTACCCCGAGCCGCTGGGGAAAGGCAGGGAGCTGCGCCGCTTTGCTGGCGGCATCCCCCCCTTCGTTTTGACAGCTCAAGGGAGACTTGGGAGTTGCAGGCGGGCGGCACGCCAAATATCTGCCATCACCGGCTCACTCCGCTCCTGGCTGCAGGGCACACGTGCTGCTCCGTGCACCCGAGCGGTGCCTGGGAGGGCACCCTCCATGCCCTGCCCCCCTTGGGAGCATGCCCGCCCTGGGCAGCGTGGGCATATGCTCCATAGCTGTCAACTTTCAGATTTGAAAATAAGGGATCAGCAGCCTTGAAAATAAGGGATCAGCAGCCTCACCTGTCCCGGGGACAGTCTACGGGATATCTAACAATCTGGGATAGCAGCAGGAAGCAGCGTGAAACGGCGCTGGAATAAGGGAATTTCCCACAAAAAAAGGGAAGGTTGACAGCTATTATATGCTCCGCTGCTGGCTAGCTCTGCTGCCATCATGAGATGTGATGGCATTGAGGCTGATAACTACACCAACTCTGGGCTGGTGCAGTGACCTGCCTGTTCCCCCACCTTGCACTCCAGATGCTGGGCAGAGCAGGGATTCAGATGTGGCTGAGGCCCTGCCACTCTAAAGCCAAGCCAGCTTAGTGGTGGATGGTTGGAATTTGGATTGCTCTAGATAACAAATGAAAATATCTGGATACTAAAAGAAATGGCCAGTCACATGAGATGCATGCCAGAATTGCTCACAGAATAACAGTGCACGTCCACTCAGAAGGAAATAAGTCTGGTTCAGATAAAGCAGAAATGCAACATACCGTATTTTTCGCCCTATAGGACGCACTTCTCCCCCTCCAAAAATGAAGGGGAAATCTGTGTGCGTCCTATGGGGCGAATACAGGCTTTCGCTGAAGCTTGGAGAGCGAGAGGGGTCGGTGCGCACCGACCCCTCTTGCTCTCCAGGCTTCAGGAAGCTATCAGCAAGCCTGGGGAGCCCGCGGGAGTTCCCGCAGGGCTCCCTAGGCTGCGAATAGCAGCCTGCCACCCATTCCATTCTGAGACACAAAACATGCTACAAAGCCAGGACCGTTCTTCTACTGCATACTACAGCATTTCAGGTGTTTTCCAAAGAAAAGGATGCATATTCCCACCCCCTTTACGATGTGTTGGCAATTGCCATAGCAACTTCCCCATCTTTTCAGGACTTTGTATGCCCGATGCATCATGGAATTGTGTGAGGAGCAAAAAAATAAAAATAGTTGAGAGTTTTAGCATGAATGCCACATGGTGCCTTGTGAGAAAGAAGCAGGTTAGGTTCTGAATCATGCTTTCTCCAACCAAAGCAAGCCCATCTTGACATTTTCTCTAACAGCAACCAGAGTCGCAGGCCTGTTGTGATGACTGAAGCATCCAGTGACAGTTACCATATGTGTAGAAGCAGAACAAACACCACAGAAATAGTTATGATATCAATCTCCAACATCAGGTAACAATCCAATGTTGAATAATCAGGAGATACATATGCATGTGTGAACTGGACCTCATTCTCTGGATCTAATATACTAATATACTAACTATTCTTTATAGCAAAACAAAACTTTGGGGTCTGGTTCTAAGTTCATTGCCTATTCATGGCCGCCGAGACCATATAACACCGGTCCTGAAAGACCTACATTGGCTCCCAGTACGTTTCTGAGCACAATTCAAAGTGTTGGTGCTGACCTTTAAAGCTCTAAACGGCCTTGGTCCACTATACCTGAAGGAGCGTCTCCACCCCCATCATTCTGCCCAGACACTGAGGTCCAGCACTGAGGGCCTTCTGGCAGTGGCTCCCGCCCTGTGGAACGCCCTCCCATCAGATGTCAAAAAGATAAACAAGTACCTGACATTTAGAAGACATCTGAAGGCAGCCCTGTTCAGGGAAGTTTTTAATGTGTGACATTTTAATGTATTTTTAATCTTTGTTGGAAGCCGCCCAGAGTGGCTGGGGAAACCCAGCCAGATGGCCGAGGTACAAATAATAAATTACTATTACTATTACTATTACTATTACTATCACTATTAGCTATAAAACAACTACCATGTGGAGCATCTCACTCTTGTATCTCACACAGAAAATTTATGAAGTTATATTTACTTTTATGATTCACAGACAATCTGTCTGGATTTTGTCTTTTAAAAAATGTGGAATGTTAAAAAGCAACATAACGTATAGCCAGCCTTGGTTGTGGGGAGGGGGGAACTGATCGAAATACCTACTAATAACTCTTTCTTCATAAGCACTTTGAGGGTTTTTTTTTTTTTTACAATCAAGCATTGTATAAATTTTATGAAATAAACAAATAGCTATGCTCTATTTATGGAATGACACAACATGATCACAATTCTCCTGTAAATTTAACCTAGAGTAGTCAAGCTGCCCACAGTGTAAACAGTTCAGAGAGATGGTTGGTTCTAATTCAAGATACCCTCTTCCTGCATTGTAAAAGAGCTAATCTGGTTGTCTTATATGGGGCCAATCCTAAATCGGACTGTTTAAGGTGGTGCAAGCCATGACAATTTCCATTATCATTACTAACAATCACTTCTGAAATCATCAACCACCTTAGCAATAAACTCAGAGTAAACAATTATCTTTTGGCTTTAGAAAGCAATACTATTGCGTTCATTTTTTAAATCAGTTATGGAAACTTTTTTGGGGGGTAATTATATACAACCTCCCGAAAACCCCTGCATAAGCTCTCTGTTTCCTTCTCATGCTTCATCCTCAAGCCACCCATCATCTCCCACAAATGTAGTACAATGAAAATTGCCAGGGATTTTTTTCCAGCCAGAACTTAGTTCCGACACATCTCAGATGGGTGCGACTGCCATTATAAGAGAACAATGGAGGAGTTCGTGGTGAGTTCCAGCACCTCTTTTTCTAGAAAAAGCACTGGAAATTGTTATGACACAAGTTTCAGCCATGTGCTTTATGATGTAATTAACAGTCCCCTTTCAGAAATTATGTATATGATTCCCCAACAGATGCAGTTTGTTTCATCCATCTACCATATGATGTAAGTATTGCCCCCAGACAGGAGAGGGTGGGGGCTGCCACCACTAAACAGTCCAGCATTTTCAAGTTCAAGTTTTATTGCGGCAAAAGCCAGTGACACTAAACATCACAAGATCAAACAAAAAGAAATCAACAACAACATCAGGGGGGGAAAAAAGATTACACAAGGGAACTTCGCAATGTGCCATTCAACAGAAGAGATTTACGCTTCCTGATTACTAAAGTGCAAAATTTGGCCACCTCATATGATATTGAGCTTGAGGAATCTTCCAGAAGGTATTTACGTAGGAATTCGGGAGAGGATTCCAAATAGTGTTGTAGGGGTATAAATTTTGATAAAAGCGGCAAGATAAGTTGAACTCGTTCTTCACTATAAAATTCGCAAAATAGAAGGATGTGTGTGACGGATTCTACCTTATTAGACATACAGGGGCAGAGACGCGCATGCATTGGTACCCACGTGAATTTGCCGTACAGCACTGCTGAGGGCATTGTCTCAAAACAGGCTCTAGAGAAAGCCCATCTATAAGCTTCGTTAGTGATGTTAGTTAGGTAAGGGGCAGCTGCAAAGTTAGGCCAAGCTTTTAAACATCTATACGCCTCCGGGAGCAGGGCGACTTCTTGTTGTAATTCGACATCGTAAAGTCTCTGAGTGATAATTGCTTTTGCCTTGTTCAGAGTTCCAATAAAAAGATTTTCAGGGTTTAGGCCAATTTGTTTGATCTTATTAGTTATTTGCATAAGCCAAGGAGGATAGGGAACTGCGGCCAGGAAGCCAGGTAACAGTCCCTTAGGATTGTAATGGATTTTCAGCCAGAGGGATATTGCTTGCTCCCAGACTTTTAATTCCACTCTGGGAAGTCCTGCCTCTTGCCTTAAGACTGCATTAGGTGTACACTTTGGGGTAGCAAATAATGATCTTAAGAATTTTGATTGTACTGTTTCAAGGGTCTTAAGGTTGGCAGAGGGGCTAATTTGAGAGCCATACAGGAGTTGGGCTAAAGATTTTGCCTGAAAAACTTTTAGGGCCATCGGGAGGAAGTCCAGCATTTGGAAATGCCTAGTTATCTAAACTAGCTGTAGACCTATAATTTCGTGGTACCTGCCAGAAGAATTTTTAATGTGGCAGTGGGCATTTGTATACAGAAATGCTAGCTGCCTATGGGAGAGTGGTGTATGAAGTTCCTACTTACCTATTACAAAAATTATTTTTGATTTCTTCAGGTCTTCCGTAAAACCTAAATTAAGTGGGAAAGAATGGAAAAGACTTCTAGCAATAAGTGTCGCTACGTATAAAACTGTGTATAATTATAACACACTTAACAATATGTTTATGCTTATCTATCACACTTTATAATAAGATTATGCTTACTCAGAAACATTGAATTGAATGGGAACTATTCACAGACAAGTGAATATACAAATGCAGCTAAAAAATTTTTTTAAAAACAAAACAAAACAAAACAAAACACCAAGCTTGAATTTCTAACTAGAAATTTCTTTTATTGAAGGAACAGTTCACAGCCATAGTTTTGTCGCTGTTACTGTAGCTGTGATAAAATACATATTTAATGCATGAAAACACTCACAGCTCTTTTGTGTGTGCACAATATATTAAAATGAAAAATGACCCTCCATGAATAAAGTGTTCTTGAGTTAAGAATAGTTCGTAGTGTGTGCCTCCCTTTAAAAAAAGCTTTGTTTACATTTGTCAGAGTTCATATTCATTTGGTCACATTTGTGTATGTGTGTGTTTGTGGGGGGTGCTTTTGGTTTAAGTTCAGTCTGACATCCAGACTTCACTGGTCACTAGCTGCATTCCATACAAGTGTATCGAAAGAGATCTATCCACAACAGCCTTTTCTTTTCTTGAACAGCAGCTCATTCTTTACTCAAGCAAAGGCACAACCACAGCTGTTCAGAAGAAACCTTAACCCTATGCATACATGAAGAGGGACTTACTATAACATAACCAGCCTCAAAGGCTTGAATGGAACCAAGATCTTACCCTTCATTTCTTAAGCCAAATTAGGAAGTCCCACTGGGCATCAACAGGTGCATATCCTGACACCCACAACTCTGACCTTTACGGACCTCTTGGTATTAATGCTGGAGAATTCTGATGTAACAGTGTGCTCTACAGGTTGCTATGTGTGTGCTCATATTATATTGTCTCATTTTTTTTATATATATATTTATATACTGCCCTTCCTCCTGAGGAAACTCAGGGTGACATTGTCTGATAATACATCAACAATCAATGGATTAATACATTAAAACATATACAGTATCTTAACCCCCCCAAAAAAATACAGTCATCTAATTTCCACAATACAATATAATTATGCTGAAGTGCGGAAGCTGCAGTGTGCAATCTTCCAATGTAGCCTAAATTTCTCATGAATTGTGGCTTACAGACGCGGGGAACATTCTACCAACATTTATTACAGTAGTCTAAAGGATAGCTGGTAAAACTCACCTCCCATATTCTCAGGTCCAGAAAGGCATGACTGGTCAAATGCCTGTCAATTAACATATTGGAAAATGTTATTTATGGTTTACATCTTCATGCATCAGCATCTATTATCTATTCTTATCAATAGAAAAGACCCTTTTAACATATTGGCCACAATGCTAATCCCACTCCACTGTCCTATATTTGCTTTTAGAGACAGCACCTTCAAATGAACGTCTGCTGAGTATACTTATTTATTGCTGCAGAGCATGACTGCAACGTGTGTCGTGTCAGAAATTCCAGCATGTCTATTACAGTGCAGTTGAGTGGCACTGAGGCAGTCAGTGTGCGTAATGATTAGCATCCCACAAAAAAGTGCAAAACAGGCTGTTTCTAGGTCAACCATGCTGCATGGAGCAGCAACACCCGTATTACGAAGTTGAAAGCAGCACTATTCTTTAAAAATGTATCAACCAATTTGAACATTATCAACCGGAGTTCACGGACTGACCTTCCCCTCTGGACCTCTAAGAACTAAGGGCCAGGTTATCTTGTGATGTTCTTCTCTTGACAATTTCTGTGTGGAAGCAATTAATCTGGCAAAACCACAAAGGACTGCTCAGAGGTTTTGTGAATCAAAGAAACTGATTTAAACTGAACGGTTAAAAATAAATTCTATATATGAACTATGAAAGCTGAGATAGGACTCTGCTGTTGTTAGGTAAAATACTCATCTTATAATTATTTTTTTAATATAATAATATCTGGCTGAAGGTATAAAGTACGTCAGAGAGGTATCTTATAGCTTCTCTGCCATCCTCAAAAGGGTTTCATCAAGGTTGCACAAGCACCTATCCTGTTTAATCTGTATGTCAACAACACTGTTGAATTTTTATCATCTCCTGTAATCATGTGCCCAAGTCAGTCACAAAAAATGTTTCTGCTGTACTGTACACAGATGATGGTGTTCAGTCCCAGATAAAAGCAGGCCCTGGAAAATTGTTGGCAGCATTTCTGAATACTGTCAAAAACAAGCCTTGAGGTGAAGTACTGTAAAACTCAAAGTTCTCTATATGTCACTCCCCGCCTCTCAAATAAAACAGAATTGGGAGGAAAAGGTAATTAAACAAGTTAGAGGGTGGCATGTGGCTAGGTTATATGCAGAGCAGACCCCCTGAAGTCAATGGACTTACGTTAGTTGTGACTAACCTAAGTTCATTAATACCAAAGGGTTGTCTCTGAATATGGCTTTGTCTTATACCACCTAGTGTTTTCAAATACTTTTGCATAGTTTTTCAGTCATATCGAGCATGGTTAGCTCAACAGGAATATGTGGTAAAAAAAGCTATGCAGAATATCACAATTCTAATGTATTTTTCTGAACAAAAGGTTAAAATGTTATACCTGCAGTGCTTGAAACTAGATTCTTAAATACTTTAGACCCTTTTTTTCTATACCAGGATGTGTTTCAAAAGCTGATTTTTAACAGAAACTGGTTCTCTCTCTATTTTCACACAGGCTCAAATATTTCAGAATATTTAAGTATTGGCTTCAGTTGAATTTATCCCCTTTTGTCTAGTTTCCCTAAGTTATAATTGATTTACATGAGAAAAGCTGAGAGAAAGCCATTAAGTCTAAGGCAATGTTTTTCTGACTTTTCATCACAACCGTTACTGAGTCTAGGTGTTAGCAAAGCAAGGAATCTATTGAGGCTGCACCTATTTGATACTAAACAATCTGTCTGCGCTAAGAAACTTAGGTCCCTGGTATGGTAGTTTCTGACCTTGTCTTCCTGATACAATGGTACTGAATCCACAAAATCTAACCATTCTAAAATACAGACGATTGAGTGTACTGCCTTCAGCATTTTAAGAGAATTCCATTCCAAAATTGTGTTTGTTTGTGTGCAGGTGGAAATACTGAAACACTGCTTCATGCACTGCTCTTTTGCTAAAACAGCTACTTGGATATGGAACCACATGCATAAAATAGCTAACATCATTATTATCAGCTCATCCAAAACAAACACCTGACTTCTAAGTGACTTTTCTCCTTGCACACCGAAACAATCAGGCACTACCAATGAAGCCTGCAAAATTTCTAGGGGCTGACATTAAAATAAGGGTGACTATGGTGCTCTCCAAGTCTTAATTTGTATAGTTTTCAATATGATAATTGTATCTGTTCAGTTGTGTTTGTATTTTTTATGAACTCCAGCTGACACTTTGAAGTGGAATGCATAGGGATGTATTCAACAAAGTGCTAAGGAGATTGCTCAATCAGTGCAAGCTTCCCTCTATCCCACCCCTCCGCATCTGCTGTTTGGGTAGGGGGTTTCTCCTGACAGCCAGGAGAACTGGGGAGGACACAGGGGGCATGCAGCCCAAGGAGATAGCAGGCCTCATTGCATTGGGTTCCTCTAGTACAAAGATTAAGTTGAATATGGCCCATAGTTTCCCCCTAATGTTGTGACCGTAGATGTTTTTCTTTTGAAGGTAGACATAAAAACCTGGTACTACCAATGATTCTAATTTTGAACAGGAAAGCTGTGAAAGAAATATAACTCTGTATAAATCACAGAAGCAAGGGCAATTAGCGTATCATGCTCTCACTGTTCTCATGCAAGCTCTCTTTCTAATTGCTTATAAAAAACTTGATGATTGTTCCTTAATGTGACTAATAGATAACATGCTATTGAAAATAGCATAGTCAGAGCACTTTCTCCTCCAACAGCTGAAGCACTGCGTCCATGAAAGAATAGTTCTGTCTATACTTACTGCTAGGCTTGATTTACTAGTAATTCTATTATTTCTATTATTCTAAAGCACGTACAAAAACAAAGAATGTACATAAGATAAAAGGACACAGGCCTTGTCCTCAGGCTTACACTTGAGGGAAGGAAAGAGAAAGAGGAAGAGAAATTAAAAATTAAGTGTGAAGAAAGAGCTTTAGCTGACCTTGTTTTAAAAAAAAGTATATAGTAAAATGTACAATTTCAAAAGCAGCATAGATATGATTCTGTCTTTGCAGCTATGCTGATGATGAGGATGGCAGAAGAACTGTTGGCAAGCTAATAACAAAATAAATTTTAAACTTCAGTAATATATTTTTCTTTTGGCCATAAACCAGCCCTTTTCTTTTACAAACAATAAATACCTTATAGTACTGCCCTTTTTAAACTGCCGCATGAAATTTGAGTTGCCTTTTATTGTAACCAGACACTGAGAGCAAGTCATACATGTTGCGGTGAGATGAAATACAACCACTCAGACGTTGTAGCTGGTTTCATAGAATTGTAGAATTGGAAGGGACTCCGAGGGGTCAATAGTGGTGATTTGTGTGACTCATAACTAAATTCACAAAATGAATGCAATGTTTGCAGAAAACTTGTATGGATCTGTTTTGAACAGAGGTTTTAAGCATTAGCAAATAAATGTCCATTATTCTAACTTTCACTTTTGCATACACCTTTCAAATTTAGGTATGAAGGTTCATGAGAGCAGACAATGAGGGCAGTCCTCGCCAATCTATTTTTCAGGAACCCAAGGCTTCCCTCCATTATTCAGTTGGAAAAGAATAAAATACAGAATGGCTTCTCTCTGAACCTAACCTTCTCAGTCATCACCTCCTCTGTTTTATAGCTTCCTTTCTCTATCATTCAACTTATCCATTACTTTTAGTCTGCTGATTACAGATCTGTATTTAGTATCCCATTGCTATGTGTTTTTGTTACAATGAGAGCAAATCTGACCATAGGTTCATGGGCATTTGACTTCAAAACAGTGAAAAGCTGCTTGAATTTAGTTGCTAGTAGTTCTAGAAATAGCTGGAGGTCTGCCTCAGGCAGAGATTTTATTATGCTTCTGAGCTCAATAATTGTATCATTTGAAGGATACAAAAAATCTGTGTTGAATACCTAACAACCACCTCTAATTCTACAGATAACTTTGGATTAAAACAATAGTTTCATCTTGCCATCTGAATACATTTTATTTGACCATAGGATGACGGTCCTGATACAGGCACCACAACTATGAAAGCCTAGGTCTACTCACTGTTTGGATGGGAAACCATTAGAGCTGCCTTGAGTTCCATGATAGAAGAAAAGTGGTTTTTATTTGCATGCTCAAAATAAAATAAATATAAGATAATAGGATTTTTCAAAAGCAGAAGATCCTGTAGAAATGGGTACATCAACAACCAACCAACCAACCAACCAACCAAACACCAGCATAGCCCACTGACTGCTTCTCATTCTCTGTTACCCTTTCTCTATTATTCCCCTGGCTCTCTGCCCTATCACTGTTTGATTCCTGCTATTCCTCTTCAAGATCCCTAACCTCTGTTTTAGACCTAATTCAGAAACTGAGTCATATGGAGTAACAGCTTTGCCACAGAAACCATGACATAAAGGTAGTTCAAGTTGCTCCTTCATAGCTGTGTACATACTATACCTTTAAAGCACATTTCTGCCCTCAAAGAATTATGAGGACTGTGGTTAGCTAAGAGTTTCAAGAAATTATAACTCTGTGAGAGGTAAACTACAGTACCCAGAATTCTTTGAAGGGGGAAAGTGCTTCAACTGTGCTTTAAATGTGTCATGTGCGCAGAGCCTACATCACACCAGTAACTTTATATGTTGCGTGTGTAGGTCCCCAGGCCACCCCTCAAATAACTTCACACATAAGACATAATTTTAGTTTTGGTTTTGGGGCACTATTTTGGCCACAACTTTATTAAAATACAAAATCAGTGAGTGGTTGTTTAGACATTGGTTATGACTATCTGTCCCCCCGCCTGGGACAGAACTGACATCCCGAGGTCCGATCGGTAGCCAGTAGAAGGGAAAGTCAAACTTGGGGGTCATTTGAGCTAAGCGTCGGACCCACGCCGCTCACCCCAGCAGCTCCCCGAAGGCTTGCCGGCCCTGGTCCCATGACAGGGATTGGACGAAATCGTGGCAAGCCCCAGGATTCCTTTAACAGAATTCCCTTCAGCGCAATAGGAGGGGCAGGCACAGCCTATCCTGACCCCTCCACCACCAGCATATTATAACCAATGCCTAAC